TTCAGGCTACAGATTTTGCATTTTAACAGGCTTTGATCATTCAAACGTTAAAACTTTATACTCAAGTTCACAGGAGGCAGCAGAAATGGAAAATATCACTGGTCAGGTCATAGCTTAGGTGACCAGAAAGTCCGCCACGTATACGAGCTGCTCCCGTGCTGCCGTTACATTCCTCCCTTGGAAGGCAATATTAAAAAGGCATCTAGCTGAAGCAATGCAAAGAGTGGAAAAATGGTCCCCTAAAATTCTGTAAACACTTGGTTAAGCTGGGAAATAGTTACCTTCACTTTTGAAGAGTACTTTGCTGCATCACTCACAAAAACAAATATATAAACACCTTGGGTTTATTTAATGCCGTCTTTCTGGCCTGACTGAATAGGAAGTTGTATTCAGAAAGGTTCAGCTATACTTTCTGCAACTTAAGATTGTTCAGCATCAGTCTCTTCCTTAACACACCTCTTGATATATACTCAAGGCAGAAGCATTTCTCTTTTCAGTGTATGTGTAAGAGGAAAATATTGTGGTTTAATTTTGAAGAAGGCATATTTGGACGCATACAGACTGGTTAATGTAATTCCCCAGCATCAGACTGAGAAGACTGTCAGAGATGGGGAAAGGAGCCCAGATCCTCCAGAGCCCAGTCTGAAGTAACTGTATCACCTTCCCATGTTGGTCAGTCCCTGTTAGTTGCCTGAAACACGTGTGAGAAGCTGAATATGCTCTTGATGACCATTGAGCTGCCTTGTAGCAGTCACTAAGCCACTACTGCACCGTGTGCCTGTCTGGATTTGACTCTCTAATTTGCAGTGGCTCTGTCTTCCCTCCCCAGCTAGTAACAAATTCACAGGAGCCATGTTCTCAAGTCTTTCGGTATAGCAAACAGTACAAAATGAATAAGACTTTCAGGTCACGTTCAGTTAACCTGGGAGATGTCTACTGCCATTTCTTCTTGCCTGCTGGCACTCCAGCAGCACAAGGGTCTCCCTATCTTCTGTATTATGTCTACCAGCCCCAGAGAGATGTCTTGAATATCCTACAGTATTTCCAGTGGCACCAAGTACCAAAGTTTAGATAGCTGAATCTCTTCCTCAGTCCCTTCTCTGCAGTGTACATAGGTCTGTGTTGTATTTAAACAGTTACAGTGGTAACTGTGGTCTGTATCTCTGGTACCATACGTGTGGCTCACCAGAACTCCTGAGAATTGCTCAGAGCAACTCGGGTCAGTTTAATCATTTGCAGAACCCCAGGTAAAGCAGCTCTAACTATAACAAAATGGCAGCTTCTGTCACTGCAAATCTGTTGTCTTATCACTGGTTTGGGTTTCTTTTTAGTGCAGCATTTCCAGCTAGATTTATTGGAGAGTTTTCTCTCTTTCGTAGAACGTAAACTTGCTCATAAATGTCTATCTCCCGTGGTACTAATTTGATGAAATGCTGCTCTAAGTTTCATTTTGTCTCCAACTGCGCAAATGACTGCCGAGGAGTAATTATGCGCTGTAGCCTGAGCTCAGTGGAACACTGAAGGCTGTAGTTTAGTAGACACTTTGCTCTGTTCCGTGCTCTTGCACAAATCTCTGCCAATCTACATAAGTACTAAGTGCACACGCTTCCAGTACCATGCATGTTTGCCATTTCGAGCTTGGGCTAAATACTTACCAGTGCTGTATTTTTAGCGCCTCATGTTTTACCAGAAAGGCAGCATAAAGGTTATCAAGTTCTTCCCTAAGTCAAAAAAAAGTGTGTGTGAGAAAATACCACTGGTAATGTTTATCCAGAATGTAAAACATGGTATCGGAATAAGTCATATTTTTCTTGGATTATGGCCAAAACAGAGCTGTCAACAAAAGAAAAGTGTATAGGGTTAGAAGGGAAGAAGTCTATGAAAAAAAAAAAAAAAAAAGAAAATTGAGGTCCTTTTGTTTTCCTTTCCCATATACTGTTGTGAGAAAGAATCTTCTTAGGTATATTTATAAACATGTGAGCTACTGGAAACTACCAGACCTTTGCCTCACAAAACACGTATCACAGTTTAAATTTTAAATTCAAATAAAGAATTTTAAGAAAAGCCCTGTGATTAATCTATACCTTCTGGCTTGCTTTGTAGGTGTTTGGAGATGAATTGAACAATAGCTCTTTTAGGAATTTGGAAATGCAAAAGAAAAGATCTGCTTTTTCTGAATCTCCCTCTGTAAGAACAAATAAGATTTCTTTCATTTTCACTGCATCGTTCCCTTCAGAAAAATTCTGTGAATTGGATATTATTATCCCAGTTGTCTAGATAAGGAGATTGAAGCAGAGATTGAGAGGCAAATGATGTATAGTCACTGCATTAGTGCACAGAGGATAATGAAAAAGACCTCTGCTGATTGTTGGCCCATCAAGAAGATAATTTTGCTATAAGGAGTCATTGGAAGATTCCCGTTGGTTGACATGAGGAAAGAGCTGGTCAGTGCAATGGACCCACACTGCATGTTTGCGGCCCGGGAATCCCTCTTCCACTCCCAAATATATTTTCCTAGAGAAGTTGCCCATAAAATTTTCAAGCAAATAGTTTCTATCGTTTCCCAAGAAAGCCCATCACAGGCAACCATATTATTACAGATTTTGGCTGTATGATATAACAGTCAGGCAATGGACAGAAAGATACAATCAGGTACCAAAAAGGTGGTGAGCTGGCATGGCCTTGATGAAACTAGGTCTCATTCTTTTATAGATAGGGGCTTACACGTTTTTCTGCCAAGGTTTTGGAAACAACTTCTTCATAGTAACTTAGGGAAAGAGACTCTCAACATGTGTCTCTAATTTGCTTCCAGCTGTGTACAACTATCTCACAAGACCAGCTTTGTAACGAAGAGTTATTTGCCTTCCATGCTGCATAGACCTGTTGCTTAACTGGTGCACAGTTTGAATGATTCTCCCATTGAAAATGTTCTGAGTCTGCAAATAAATTGTTTTAAAATGCACACAGAGGAGAGCAAGTATTTTTTATTAATTTTATAAAACTTTCCACTGCAAAAGCAATATGAAATTCAGTTCATTCTTTCTACCACCTTCAATTCCGAGTTTTCTTTGCCAGTCTTCTCTCCCAATCCAAAGGCCGCAGTAAATTTAAATATTTTTGTTGGATTGCTCGGGTGAATAATCTCACTGATGTGTGTGTGTGTGTCTACACTTCAGGGTGACACAGGACTGCAGTCTTACAGCACCAGTTGCCTCTGCTGGAGACTTTGACTGATTTGTACCACCTTTCTCTTAACCCACCAGGGGAAAATTCACTTTACCATGAGTCTTGCAGTGTGGGTGCCAAGCCTGAGCACCATCAGTTCACAGTGGCTTCTGGGGATGTTCAGCGCCTGTGAAAGCTCAGGTCAATGGCAAATGTTGGAAAAAATTGTATTCCAGTCACAGAGCACTGTGTCTCTTCCTCTGCATTTAAACAACTAGTACAGATTTCCGTCTTAGATTCCAATTTAGGAAACCACTTCGTCACATATGTAGCCTTCCCATCTCGAATTCATCCCATCTGTATGTTCAGATACACAAAGATGTGTATGCAAAAAAAGTTTTGGAAGCCTTCCTTGCAGGTGTATTTTGCCGTTTTCATTGATCCCACATACATGAACTCAGCTTTCTAAGTGCAAGACAGTTTAGGTGCAGTAGATGAATCGGGCCCCAAGGCTACTACCAAAGACGTCAAGAAAGGAGAGGTGAATGCTAAATAAATAAATAATAAAGTAAAATAAAATAAAACGCTTGATGCTTCAACATCTGTTTTCAGTTGCCACTGGTATGAGCAAGGGAAAAATCAAACAATAAAATAGCCAAAAAGGAAGCTACGTTGTTAGACATAATTTAAATCAGTGTCAGGAAACATCCCTGAATTTTTATTCAGATTATTATTATCTTAAAGGGTAGCAGAAAAATGGCATTTTTCAGGTAGTATTTGGTAAACTACCAAACAAATATCTCTTCTGTTACTGTATCCATGCTATTAAGGGTTTGATCTTGAAAAGGGCAAATCTGCTTTGCCTGACCAAAGTTAGTTTAAGTGTGGCTAGAATGGAAAATTAGTTTTTCAATAGGCTAATCACAAGGGCAAAACTTAGATACAGTGTCACAGACGACAATGTCTTAAATTCAGGTGAGGAGTGAGTAGCTGGAAAAAATGAATTGCCCAGTGTGAAATCCTAGCTTCAAGGATTTAGACAGAAAATCTCTGATGGTCAAGATTTTTCTTCTTAGGAAACAGAAGGTCTGTTGTGTAACAGGTTGCCATGTGTGTTTTTTTAATTTTAGTTATTTTTTGTTAGGATTTTTCTTAGTTTGATCTTTTTTTTTTCTTTTAATCAGCCAAGGCAACGCTCGGCACTCATTCTGATTTCAGACTTGGTTTAGATCATTGTACAACTTCATCAAAACCCACAGTATTATTTTCTGGCAAAATCAGGCCCCTTGATATGTTTCATTAGGAACAGTTCTCAAGGGATTAGTTTCTCTTTCCTCCTCCCCTCCCTCCCCTCCGGATGCAGAGTGATTGTCTAACAGTACTTAGCTGTATTTATTTTTCATTGCCATGCAATTTTTATTTAATTAAGGTGCAGATATGCTGGCACAATGGGTGCACAGGATGGCTAGCGGTCTGCTTTAAAATTGTATGGATGTGCTAAGCCTTTGCCTCAGCATACACTGCTTTTCTGCAGCCCAGCTGAACCGCGTACTTCCCAGTGAAGCCACACCGTTTCTTTGCAACAGGCTTTATCAATCCCAATCTTTTGCTCACCAGCACACTAAGTGTGCTCAGGCACCACAGAGATCCTTCCTAGATGTGGATGTGTCAGTTTGGTGGTGTGTGTCTCTAAGGCTGAATACTTTCCATGCTTTGAGGAATGAGTTTCAGAACCCCAGTGGAACCAAAGGGGCTGAAATGGCAGTGTATTATTTTACAGCAACAGTGTAAAGCGAAAAGAGGGAGACTCAACCTTTTTCTCCATTTTCATTTAGCAGGAGAGATGAAGAAATGTCTTCGGCTAAGCATGAGAATGAGGATATATTCATTGCTGCACAACTCCAGCAGACACTGGCTGGCCTGGGTAAAGATTTAGAAGGTAGGGAAGCGTGTTTCCTCTGAAGTACACAAGAGAGAGGCATAGCCAGGAGATGCAGAGTCAAACTGTACTCTGAGACATCTGTGCGTTCCTCACTAAGATCACTGGGAGCAATTCAGAGGTCTGAGGCAGAATGTGATCCACTCGAAGGGTGTGCTATCACTTTGCTTTTGGGGCAGCCTCTCTTTATAGGCTCACACTAAGTATTTTTCAAGCTGCATATCGGATTGTTAATGTATTTCAGTGACTGCTACCAAAAGGAGACGAACAGCAGTTTATGCGCATACTTTATGGGCCAAATTTGGTATCATTTCATTGGTTTCAATGAAGCTAGATCAGTTGTGAATTTAGCTCTGTGCTTAATGAACAATGCCTCTGTTTTGTATTACATCATAATGAAGTAGAGAAGGGGGATGCCTTTTTGTACCCAATGCATCCTCTGTGTTAGCAGAAGTATTTTAAAGTTAAAAATTGAAAAACATGAAAAGAAACAGTGGGAAGAAAAAAAAAAGTCATATTGTGCTCCTCTTTTTCCTACTGTGAATAAAAATAGCCAATTCTCTATTAATAGTTTGCCACCAAATGATGTTGAATCGTTCTTTAAAACTTCCCATCTTTATTCCAGTACTTCTGCAGTGGACTTGATACTGATTTAATTTCTGTGAGTTCTCTAACACTGCAATTTCTTAGCTTCTGTGTTGTAACCCTTGATTTATACCAGCAAATTTGAGAGGAGAGTTAAGCTTCTTGCACAATGAGGCTTCTGGAGTCACTGGTAATGAAGGGTGAGAAGAATGGAGGAAAAAATACAAGTACTGTTTCTTTGTTTGCTTGCTCAAGGAAATCCTTCAGCTGGGCTGTTATTACTGACCAGGTCTGGGAAACATAATTTGGAGTTGTTCGCTGTTTCTCAGAAATGTTTCTCCTTTGGAGTCATGTGGTGAAATGTTTATCACTGAGAGAAGTTACTCAAAGATAAGGTATGAACAATAGATTAAATTCTGCTTTCAGCTGCATTTGTATGTTTCCTGCTGGCTGAAGCAGGAGGACTGCAGGAATATTTGGCTGATCCTAATCAGCAACCAGACAATTAAAAAGGACCCAGATCTCTCCTTTTTTGTAATGCAGACATAAATATATTCCTGTTAGTTTTAGTGTAACTAAAATACCTGATCCACTTAAGCTTGTACTGGCTGTTTGTGTAATTTTAAAGTCATATTGCCTAAATACTGCCTACGTGTAATGTTGTATGTATATGTGTATTTTGCAGCAATGAATGGTGTAAGTAACTCTGACTCTGAGTACCTCAATGAAGTGTTGACCTCGCGTATAAGAAAAGCTAAGGCTGCCCAAGATGTTACCATTTCTGTTCCAGTAACAGTCATAGATGATATTCCAGAAGTTAGCTTCTCTGACTCAGCTGGAAATCAAGAGACAGAGACAAGAGTTTCACCCAATATCTCAGCTGGCTCTGTTAATAAAGGAAACTTTACGAATAAAAACAACAACGCAGGTTCCTTTGATAAGGGACACACAGATGGTGGAGTTGTACGCATATGCAGGGACCTAATATATCAGCAACTATCTGAAAGTGAATTCAGTCACTTGCCTGTGGAACAGAGAAGAGATATGTTTGAATCTCTCACATCTTCCTTTGAAAGAAGAAATGAAAAGAACTTAAGACTGGACACCCCCCCCAAATACGGTGTGAAGTCTGAGGAGTATAAATCTAGGCTGACTCCATCTCACTCCAAGGCCACAGCTGAAATCAGTACAACAAAAGAGAAGATAAATACATTTAATGAATGTAGTAACAGGGAAAGATCTCTGAAAAAAAGTAAATCAGAATTAGAAATCAAATGGCCACCAGCAAAGAAAATTGAAGCAGAAGAAGTCCCATCAACACCCACATGGTGTCATCGTGCCCAGAATTCAGGAACAAACTACGAACCTAAAATGGGTTTGACAACCTTTAAAGTTGTCCCTCCCAAACCTGAAGTAAAACGTTTTGATAGAGGAGTTTCACTCTCCACTGGTGCCATTAAGATAGATGAGCTAGGCAACCTTATAGGCCCAAACACTAGTGTCAGTAAGCATCTACCAGGTACGTTTACTGATGAAAGTGAGGCAATTCGTCTTGGGAAAGTGAAGGCATTCTGGAGGTCAAATTCTATGGAAAAGCAAAGTGATGACTCTGCTGAGCACCTTCCTAAAAAGTCAGCAGTGACCACAAACTCTAAGCCCTTTACTATAAAACATGAACACAAACCTGCCTGTCTTGCAGCTCCAAAACCAGTAGCACCACAGACTGTTGCTTCTCAGGTAGCTGAAAGACAGTCTGAGAATGAAAGGACCAAACCACCTCTTCCAGTTACACAGTCTCAGGTAACACCATTAGTGGCCCCGAGCGTTAATAAGGACAAGCTGGAGCTTCCATTTGTAAAGCCACAGAGGAGAACTTCAAGTCAGTATGTTGCCTCTGCCATTGCAAGACACATCAACATAAGTACCTTTAAGATTGACTCTACAGAATATCATGAGAAAGATGAATATAAGCAAGGGACAGGAGAGGTTAAAACTGAAGCAGAAGTTTCACCAAGAAGATGCATTATTGTGGCCAAATGTAGCCCTGTGGAAACAGAGTCAGCAGAAACAAGAGAAACACTTTCAAGTATTTTTTCTTGCAATCAAAAAGCATCCCACAGATTTATACCTAGTGATAATTCTGGCATGGAAAACAAAGTAGTTAACATTAGGGCACCAAATCAAGCAACTCCTCTGAGTTTCTATAAAAAGAATGCCAGTGTCCCACTTACTAAATCTTCCTCAAAGGATAACAACGGTGCAGAAGATGATCATGGTTTAAGCAGCAAACAAAGTATAGCAGAGAGAAGGATGCATCTTCTGTTTGACCAGAAATGTGAGACTTTGACCCATACTAATTCAGCCTCATCTCTCAAGTCTCCTGATCTCCAGGGAGTCCCATCCTCTTTCAGCTCATCTTTGCGAGTCAGTAAATGGCCTCCTGCCAACAGCGTACAAGTCAGTTCGCTTAAAGCTTCGCCCGAGCTAAATGGTGCAGCAGCAAATGCAGAGTTAGAACAGGAGGAGAAACCTGATGATTCAGATATTAATGTTATCAGTGAACTGGATGTTATTATGCAGACCAATATCTTTGGACCAAAGAAGAAGTTCAAACCTGTTGTCCAAAAACCAATTCCAAAAGACACATCGCTGCACAGTGCCCTAATGGAAGCCATACAAACAGGAGGGGGAAAGGAGAAACTCAGAAAGGTAAAGTGAAGACTTTTTTTAAGCCTGTTCAGACTGCAAAGCCCTGTGTTCACCCTGTCAGACACCAGAGGTTTTATAACTTGTACAGTTGCTGGTGAGCTGGAGTACACAAGGCATTTGAAGAATTTATAATGGCAAAATACACACCAAGCCACTGCTTATTCTGCATATCTGTATATTGTGCAACACCATTGCTGCTGCACTAGCTAGAAGAGGCAGAGGGTGCAGAGGTACAGCATAAAGGAGAGGCAATTGAGGTTAGCCTAAGAGCCGAACCCGCGTTTCAGTGTGTTATGTAAAAACAGGAGCACACAGCATGGAGAAAACTTGTACATACCTGCAATGAAAGAAAACTGCAAGTTGTATTACTAAGTGATACTAGTTTGCCACTGGCTTCATGCTCAGGGGATATGAGACTGCATCTGTAAGTACAGCATTACTGTCTACACAGATCCTCACCATTCAGTGTGAGTAAGGGTTGGAAAAGCAGGCCCCAAAGAAGACAGACTTATTAGTCTCCATAGCTTACATTCTGGTACAAGTGCCAAAAATGTTTTTAATAGTATTTCCAAACTATAAGCAAATATCTAATAACAATGTGAAGTTTATTCTTTTCATATTCTAGGTTTCAGACAGTGCACTAAATGTGCACAGGAAACCCTCATATGCTGAGCCACAGAATGAGCGCTCAGCCCTACTAGCAGCAATTAGAGGCCACAGTGGCACCTCAAAGCTAAAAAAGGTAAGAAATCAAGATGGTAAGTGATTCTCTAAGTGCAGTCTGTTCCTACTGGGTGTTGTGAATAAAACCAGATATGCCACAAACTAAACAGTGCGCTGCAAAGAGAAAGGTTGAGGGGGAGATATGTCTCAAGACCAGATCTGATTTATGCAGATAGCATAGCGGGCCCAATCCTATAATCTGCAATAAAACTTAACACTTTCAAATGGTGTGCTTTTAACTGAGAAAGAAGCACAAAGAAATCCAAACAAATTACAGGGAGTATATGTAGAAGACATCAAATGTGTGTCATTTTCACATTTAGGTGGGGGTTTCTTTGTACTTCAGCAGCATGCAGTGAGATTAATACATTTGCCTTACCTACCATATGCATCCAATTTCAGTTACCTAAAAACACACTAGAACTCTTTCATGCATGCTGTTTATCTGTTAACGTGAGTTTGTGCATGCAATTTGTGTGCAAGTAACTGGTGTTGATGGAACATCAACTTTTACCACAGCAGGATGATTCCTTCTGTCTGAAAGATTTACCTAATCGTTAAAGCATCTCTTATTCCTGATAGCCAAAACCTGCATTGTTCTAGCCTTAGTTTTCACTCGGTTCACTAATCCAGCCAAGGATGTGTGTTTGGCAAGGAGGTTCCCATTTCCCTCATGCAGTGACTCAGGCCATCAGGATAGCTGGCATTAGATAGAAAGAATCTCCTGCCTGTGTTGGGGATTTACTTCCTCCCTCACACGTCTTGCTGCCCTTGCTGCAGGTAGGGTACAGCCTCCTCTGAGCCTGACAGCAGGACGTGCTAGGCAGCAGCCATCTTCATACATACTTCACAGCATTCTGCATTCATTGGCAATAAATGTAAATTTGTGTAAAAGAGGCTCTGACAATGAAGTGATGGTGTATTATCACGGAGGCTTTTTGGAATACTTCCCTCCAGCAGAGAAGCTTTTGCCATCATGTTAAAGGAAGTTGCCTGGAAACTGTACGCTTCTTTTTCACACCGTGTCACCTGTGCTAGTTAAAGCACCATGTTTGCATGTGTACAGGGCAAGACACAGATGTGCTATGATGAAAGCGCTGTCCCTTTCATGTTATCTCAGATGTTCATGTTTTATCTGACATTACGTTATCCCCATAGTGTGTGTGTGTGTGTGTGTACAGTGAAGGAATGGAATATAGGAGCTATATGAATGTGGATTATTTGATGGGAAGTGAATCCTCTCATATTTCACTAGAGAACTTTTGTGCCTCAGTTTCTCTGAGAAAGGAAAGCTAATGCATCTGCTTGAAAACCTCCTATTTGACACATGATGTTGAATCTCCTAATAATTGCAAAATCATTTTAATTACTAACAATTTACCATGCTTATTACTAGTGATGTTGTTAACAGCAAAAATATTTGTTGAGACAGTTGACAGAAAAGCTGGCTTAGTCTGAAAGTTTGCCTCCTCCCCCTGGATTTATTTAAAGTAGGATGAGTTTCCAAGCTGGTAATTCGTGCAGAAATTTTAGTTTCAGAAATTCCACAGAAGCACACTTGGAAGAGCAATCAGTTGATTTTGTTTTCAGTGCTTTCATGTAGTTCTCTCTGGTACGTTTTTTTGTTTGTTTGTTTTTTTGGGGGGTTTTTTAATATGGCTGGAAACCTTAGGTTTAATGGCATTTTTTTCAGTGAAGCCATGTCTGAGAGCTCAGATCTAGCAGAGCCTCCCTGTCATCTAAGATTATTTCTGTGCAGCCCAGAGTGCAAATGTAATGAGATTCCTGGGTGGCTACTGCAGCCTTAATATATCTTCCCGATTCCAAAACCCTTGTGGTTGTTTCCAAATGAATACCAAGTTCAGCTCTCTCTTACCTTACATGCCAAGAAGAGTTACAGGATGCTGGAGCTCACAGTAAATAAAGATTGAGTTTCTGAGACAGAGTCAATGCCAAATCCTTGATGCTGGTAATTCTCCCAGCTGAGTGATGTGAGTGAGTAGTAACAGATGTTCAATCCCATGAGCAAACAAAAGTTCTGTGTGTTTTACATCATTCGAGCATAGTGAAATCGGGGTACTGAAAGTGCATCAAATGTCAAATAATTACAGTTCAGTCGTACTTGATATTAATCGCCTCCTTTCAACTGCATCATGAGCAGATCTCCTCATTGGCCTCCAAAGAGCTGCAGAGTTTTAGGAATGCAGAACTGTCCTTGCGGAAGGCAGAAGACCCTCAGGAAGAGCAGCTTTGTATCCCACCCGCCCCTCCCCAGCCACCACCACCACCACGTCCCACTCGGCTGGCAACAGCAGCTCCTAAATCCTCTGCCATGGCTGCAGGTAACCCTGGGGAGGCAAGGCAAGCCCTAATGGAGGCCATTCGCTCTGGTGCTGGAGCAGCAAAGTTAAGAAAGGTAAATGTACTTTTATGTTTTACTGGGAATGAAACCGTCTATACTTGCTGTGCTTTGAGAGCCAATTTACAAGCTGTTCTAGCCACACATTTCTTTCTTCCATCAGAAGAAGGTACATGCACTGTTTTTTCTATCATAATCAAAGATCAGGAGTGTATTTCAAACCTTTGAACAGCTATTAAAATACACTATTAAGACTGAAACAGCCTGTGCATATATGCAACCAAAAAAATAGTCAATACTTATTTTTTTTAAATAGAACATCAAGAGCATGAATACCATTTTAGAAAGCCTTTTCATGCCCTTTTCATTCTTGTGAATCTGAGATAATACTGGATGTCCTTTAGACAAGGTGAACCTAAGAAAGATGAGATATGAGCCCCTGAAGTAAATTTAGACATAAGTATTCACTCCTAATTTCAATAGTGTGTCCTAGACCCTAATTCCCAACACTTACGCCTTGGTCACACGTGCTAAAAAAAGTTGACGGTAAAACTGTGGGGTCGTTTTAATGTCCACCTGAACTTTATTAATTGGGTGGTATGTGTTTCACTTCACTGGTCAGCTATGGGTCAGTCAGCTCCCAGATGACTAAATGCTCAGTTGCCCAGGTGTGACTTTTAGAGTAACTTCACTTATCTCTTTGATCAAAATTTGTTCTTCCTAACCTCAAGTTATATTGCATTTCTTGGTAAAGAGAAGCAGATCCATTGGCAGTAGTAGAGTCATCCCAATATCACACTGCAGTATCCAAGAATAGACTTTGATCCAAGGACTTGAGGGAATGTACAAAAGCAGATGTACTTTTCCCAACACATGATTTAGCTGATGCCAACCGTAAATGTTTAAATAGGCTTTAACCTTGCTTACTTCTCCTCTTTAAAACAATTCAAAAAATATGATCAAATTTTAACATTAAAAAGTAGCCAAAAATTGTTTTCCGATAAACCAGAAATTCCACAGAATCATACAAATGTCACAAACAAATTGTTGTTTCAGGGAAATTTACATCAACACACAAACAGAAACCTGGATGTGCAGTTATTTTGCATGTGAACAACTACATCTACATTATGCATGCTATTATGAGGAGTGGCTGAGGCCACTTGGTATGTTCAGCTTAGAGAAGGCTGAGGGGTGACCTCAGCAGAGTCTGCAGCTTCCCCAAGGGGGGCAGCAGGGCGGGAGGTGCTGATCTCCTCTCTCTGGTGACAGGACACGAGGAAATGGAATGAAGCTGCATCAGGCCAGGTTCAGATGGGAGATTAGGAAAAGGCTCTTCATTGAGAGGGTGGCCGGTCACTGTAACAGGCTCCCCCTGGAAATGGTCACAGCACTGAGCCTGTCAAGAGTTCAAGGAGCATCTGGGAAATGCTCATAGTCATATTGTTTAGTTTTAGGTAGTCCTGAAAGGAGCAGGGAGTTGGACTCGATGATCCTTATGGGTCCCTTCCGTTTTGAAATATTCTATGATTCTAAGACTACAAATTATGAAATAATAATACTCCACATCAGGCCTTTATTTCCCCACTTCACCAATTTACAGAAAAAAAAATGGGATTTGGACATTCAAGAATACTTCATACAGTTGTCAACTACATCGGTCTTGCAGAAGTCTCTGAGGGGACCCATAGCTCTACTCATTAAAACAAGCCTTTATCATGTCCTCGGGGATTTATTTCAAAACAGTTGGATAGCCAGTGCAGGCCATGAAAGTAAGCTGGATATACTGATGTATTCTGGTAAATACTGTGTTTGTCTTCTTGCATTTTCAGGACAGAAATTTTTGGTAGTTTTGACATTACAATGACAGAATAGTACGTCTCTTATTATATAGGTCTTTAATGAAAACAGAAGAGAGCCGTCTTTTGTCCAAGACAGAGTATGATTTTCTTATTATTGTGCTGTCCTTTCAGATATTGGATATGCAAGCTAAGTCTTGTATATGCCAAAGACATCATATCACTTCATCATCTGAGATCTCCTGCCATTGCTAACTGATAAAAGTAAAAATGTCAGATTTCTCAAAGACTTTCCATCCAGTGCATATTAATATCTCTTCTAGCTTGCTGTGTTAAATTGGAGCCGAATTCTGCTCCTTCCCTGCAGTGGGGCAACTTGTGACAGCAAAAGTTGAATCCATAGAGGAGAGAATACAATAGCTGTGTATCAGGGTTTTCTTCCTTTACAGCTGTAGAACATGTCTTCAGGAAACACTGAGTTTTTGTAGACAGTGGTTTTGTGCCAGGGCTGAAGCAAACTTTTTTCTTTGTTTTGCCTCCTCTGTCAAAGATCTGTGATGTCTTGATTTGGAGATGTGAGCTCAGAGCCATTTTTGGCTTTGCTTTCTAGAAGATTTTGGTTGCAGCAACTAGACAGCAGAGTAGGTAGTTCAGTTCAGTAACTGCATCTGTTTCTCTTCCATTGTCTTCTCAAAGTTTTCTGGGACAAGGCTTCTGACGGTGAAGTCATTTATTTAGCTAATAATGTAGGGAACTGGGAAGAATCTGCATTGCTTAGTTATGTATGACTCTGTGCTTATTTATGAGGGGTTATTTGCAATGGAAGTAGATCAAACAGGGCTGTCAGGGGAGCCAAACGCAAAAAGCAACCAATTGCCTAGATAAGGAGCATCCCAACAAACATTTGAGCTCTATTAATATCTGTGAAAAGGCAGCTCCTCCACACCACCCCTGATTACACAGCTGTTTGCTAAAGTCATGAACTTTGAGGTTAAAAGATCCACTGTGCAGGAAGGGAGGAGAGAAATTGCTGCAGGCTGACCTTGCCTCGCTGAGGGTCAGGGTCTGCACCACACAGGCTGTAATTGGGTCAGCCAAAACAAACCAGAACAAAAATAGGTACTTGAGGGAAATGCCAAGTGTAGGTAAGACAGTATGCACGTAGGTCTCCTAGCCATTCTTCACTCCATTTCTTGGAGTACTGTGCCTGCTTTGGCAAATAAATCATACTTTGTTTTGAAGAAATCGCTTCTGTTTTATTGCATGCACTGTTGCTATCCACAGGCTCCCAAAGGAAAATTCTTGCGGGTGCCAAGCCCAGTTGGGCCTGCTCAGTAAAATGGTTCATCCCCAGTGCAGTGCAGTTCAGAGACCTGCCAGAAAGTGGTTAAGACTGCAGATCCTACCCAAAGGGAACAGAGACACAGATGTGTTACTGGAAAGGGATGAACTTACCGACTGGAAAAGACCTGACAGTGCGCAGGAAGTAACCTTTTTCTTCAGTTTTCAGAATGGTCTGTCGAGGAACCTGGCAGGTGTTTAACACACCCAAAGTATAACAGCAAGTCAGGGAGATGGCATCAAGTAAAGTCACCGACCAGGATGGCTGACCTAGTACCTTTGGGGGTTAAATGTCTTGAGAAATGAGCGTGTCTCACTAGCGAGGAGCCTGCTTCCCAGCTGTGTGGTCTGCCTCCTGTACAAAAGAGAAGTAGTTGATCTAGGAAATAAACAGCTGATCTGAGACCAAATTTTGGCTAGTTCTAGCAAGCAAAACTCAGGTCATGTAGCTGTACCATTTGAGCTTCTGCTGTTAACAGTGAACTAGTATTTTCCTTAAACTGTATCAAGCAATTCCTGTCACAATTTCACATACTTAAGAGCTTTATGTCCAGTTTTTAACTTTATATTTCTATCTCAGAAAATGCAAAATAGCCCAGCTAGATTTCTGAAATTCTGTGTATCGTTGCATGTGTATTTTTGTGTCTGTGTAACTTGCCTTGGGATTTACCATGATTATCTGTGGAAAAAAAGCATAACTACGCATGCAAATAACCTGTTAGATGTCTAGCTGTAGGTATAGTTGCAGCACAAGCCCATGCAGGATTAGAAATTTTACCCAACAAAGAGAAGCTATAAAAGTTGACTTAGTTTATATGCCATCTACTCATTTTAGGTAGAATTGTACCCAGGGATTTGGTAGAAATATTGCAGGGGAATGTGCCTGCACAAGGTGGGGAAGGCAAGTTGTTTATCTGAAGAATAGGCTTTTCCTCATGGTAAAATGATTTCTGTAGACCACTTTTTAATGGTACATGCAAGAGAGATTTCACATATTTTCGAATAAAGAATGGAGCTGCATCTAAGCAGCCTTTTCTGTTTGCTCACTGCGCTTTTAAAAATTAATTTGGCTCCATCACAGTATGCACAGGCATTCATGCCAGTGTTCAGCATCAGCATTTAGTCACATGAACTCTTGATACGTGCAGTGTATCATTCTGTTGGCAATCAAAGAAACTGGGGAGGGTAATTACTGCACCCATTACAATGAGTCCCTGGTATACACTGGGATAATTTGAAGTTGGTTGCCAACAAGTAATGCATCAATCTGAATTACGACACGATGAGTGTCTTCTAGGAAGCATGGCCTCGTTCCATACCTTTATGTCAAGCAGTGGACCATTCTTCTCACATAATCAGAGATATATAATTGTGAATGAAGAAATACTGTTTCTTATCATCAATGTCTGTGGGTGCAATGACAGAGATTACAGGCTCAAAGCCACAGTTGGTGTTGGCATTGGTATGCTGAAAATGGGGCAGGAGGCCCCACTAAAAGGTTGGCCAAGCTTGATAAACAGGTAGTCAAATCAGCCTATAAAGTGATTCTAGTTCCCATGCACGGTGAGAGGCAGGTGTTTGCATGCTGTTACTCTATGTGAATTCAAAGATAAAATTTAATTTGAACTCTTCACCTTGCTAATAATTTATACTGTGACCTATTTTTTTCCTCAAGAATAAATCTTCTGTCATGGATACTAAGTCCAAAATGGAAGATTTAGACTTGATCAAATGCATTATTCCTGTTCAGCTTCTGTGGGAACCTTAATGTATATCTCTCTGATAGAATCAAAGCTCAAAGTAACTTTGATTTTGGAACAGCACCCTAGCACACATATTTAAAATGAAGTACATGCTTAGATGACCTGAGGACTAGGGAGGAAAATAAGCATTTGTTTAAGTATTTTCCTGAATCAAAGCCTTTGGGAGTTTCCTTCAGTCAATCAGGAAACAAACTACTCATCGATTGATTTTTATGGCCAGTGACAGCTAGCTGATACCGAACAGATTTTGGCTGTCAGATACTGCGTATTCGCAGGCTGGGTTTCTGTTCACTCCACAAAATGAAAGAAGTTTACAGAAAAATGTATCACCTATGTTCCAGTAATCGTGTAATTTCAACCATAATACCTAAGGATGTATGAGGTGGTGGGTTTTTGAGGGAAGGATAACACCTTTCATTAGACCTATTGATACAGCTAGAAAAAAGCAGATAAGCTTTAAGTAGTCTCAATGAGCTGATGAAGAGACCAAGCTTGGAAACGGCCCCACAGGAGAATGTTTGGTTAACAGTGTCAACAGCTGGAGGTTTAAAAATATCTTGAATGGTCATGTGCTTTTCTTTGTTATAGGTCCCTCTGCTCGTTTGAATCATGTATAAAGAACAGGTAATTGGAAAATCTAACCCCATAGGCACCCATAATCATCATTCAAGGTCTGAAGTGGCAAAAAACATCAAGAAGTTTAGTTTATTCTCTTGTCTACAAGCCAAAATAAGTTGTAGTTAATTTTCTGTGTGTTCCTGCATAATGGTTCTAAGGGGAAAATATGTTGCTCTGCTGTAAAGCTTCTGTGCCAAGGAATTGTGTTTTGCCTCTGAATATTTAAGGTTGCCAATAAACTATTCTTGTTGGCAGGTTAATAAGAATTTAAACACTGTGCAGTCCTGTGTTAATACTTAATTGTGTTTATGGGCAAAATTAAAAGACTTTGCTAGCTATCTGAAAAGTAATACTCATTTCAAGTTGTTAAAAATATGTAACTATTTCAAACTATTTACTTGCTTCTTATTTGATTTGGAAAAGGGCTGTGATTAGGGTGAAAACCATAATAAAGATCTATAAAAAACAAACACAAGAAAAAAAAATATGGTACATTATGTAGGACCTAAATTGTCATATGCTGGAGTCACTGGTTTTTAAATTTAGATGAACTTGATACCTCTGGTGGAGCTCTAAGAAAGCAAGCAATCAATAATGAATGTGAGACAGTGTCTACCGAAAAGTTACTTATGGGATATGACGTATAGAGTGCTAATATGCAAAGATATGCTGAACCCTGGTAACATTCATGGCACTTTAAAAATATTGAGACACCTTAAAGGGTCTCTTATTTGCAACTGTCTGTGAAGGTTATAAATAAGATTCAGAGTACTGCATAGAGGTCCAAGATTTAGAATTCATTCCTGCACTGCAAAATGAAGTGAAGCTGGTTTATATCAAGAACCAGGACTTGTGTTGTGTCTTGTTCGGGTCATGCGTAAGTTGGCCCTTTGTTTCCAATTCATATGGCTGTTGTATGTTGTCTCACAAGTATTTATAGCAGCATCTTTTTCAAATGTTAACTACTTTGGTAATTGTTGTTGTACATATTTTGAAAATATTTCATTAAATTGATTAACTTAAAAAGGACAATTGAAAATGCTTTTTCACATTTCCTGTATTGTAATGAAACTGAAGAAGAGGAAGTTTGTATTTACATTTTTATAATCACAGACTGGAGCGATGGCAGATTCTTTTTTTTGGGGAGCTGAAGTTTAAAATGTATAGCTATGTAATGTTGAAAGCACGAGAATATTTAGCCATCTGCATTTAATGTGACTGTATATTATATATTGTAAAATATTGATGTCTGTTAGTGCCACAAATAAAAACAAAATCAAAACCTGACATGGCTTGAAAGACTCTTTTTGTCAAATGTTTTCCATTTAAAGAAATAAATTAGAACTAGAGATGGACTTAAGCAAACCAATATGCCGTGTTTGATATCTCAGGTCTGATATAAAATGTCTCGAGCCAGGAAAGGGCTCACAACTAATAATCTAGGAACACAGCAGAAATCACCAACTAGAATCAAGTTGTCAGGGTTATATACATTTCGATAATAATGCAACACTGGTAATAATCCATTTCCTCATTAGGGAAGCTAATATATGCAGAATTAAGGTGCTCTGTCACACCCTAGGATAAATAAGATCACCTTTGTTGGCTGGTTAGCCTTCTTTTGCCTTAAAAGTCTTCTCAGTATGCTTTAGATCAGAAATACTAACATGTTAAAAGTGCTGCCACAGGAAAGGTTTCCTTCACTCATAAGCTTGGATGCTGTAGATAGTCCCACAAGCAGCAAATACAGCTTCCTTGGTTAGGAGCTGTAAGACAAAATTCAGGGCAGGTCTCCGTGTTCTTAGTGTCACCTGAAGGCCCTGGGTCTGTAGCCCCTCCTTACTAACGCCTCTTCTATGTAATTAGTTGTATGGGTACTTATTTTTCAGTGTAAGGGATCCATAACTGGATTTTGAGATAATAAGATCCTTCAGGCTTTGCAAGGCAAACGTTCTGGTTCTGGGTGCTCGCACTGTATAGAACTAAAGTTTATGGAAGAGTTATTCATGAACAAACTTCTGAGTATTGAATTCCCATGTGTAAAAAAACTGAAAGAACAGCTGCAAAATGAGATATCACCTTCACTGTGAAAGCAAAAAAATTACGAAAAATCCTGCTGGCTCAGTCACAGGTCAAGCTAAAAATGGAGGGGGAGTTCAGCTGCCTACAATAGGAAGCTGGGCTGGGTGTTCATTCCCTTCCCTTGATGGGAGCTGTATATGCTCATACATTGTCATCCAGATGCTGTTGAATTCCTCGTAACAGCTTAATTTAACCTTAAGTGAATGGAAATTTTACTATAAACCCATTAATAATGAAGTCTAGTTATAGGTATGACCCTTCCATGCAATAACTTTCTATTAATGTATTTAGTAATATTCATTGGGGAAGTAATCATGCATCAGTGTTCTGGTGCGTGTCAGGCGAGCGCTTTGAAGCTCTTTCCCCTCTCATCCCTTCTTCTACCCTGCTTCAGGGCTCAGAAACGGGGGTCCTACCAGATGAAATGAATTCAGGGGACGCACTCCAGCACAAACTGGCATTCAGTCCGTGGAACCAGGCTGGAGCTGAAACGTATCTGGTAGAGACAGCGTGTCCTCAGCACCAAATCCTTTGATCTGTGTAACTGCTCTTACTGTTCCACACTGTTTGCTAGTGCAGACACAGCCTGTGTCTAGAGGTATACGTGCCACCTATGTTAGTCCCTGACATGTCCTTTCATGGCACTTGCAGCTGGACAAACTGCAGGCTCGTTTCTTTTTTGAAGGACTGAAAGAAGGACAGTGAGGTCCCCTTTTCTTAGCCTAGATTTTCCCCACATACTCCCTTCCCAGTTCAAACAGAGGGAAGAGTCTGATACATGCCTAATCCATCTGGTCCTTTCTGTTGTCTTTTTGAGTAAGATACTGAAATAAGGTGAAAAAGGGTATCACCAGGGAAATTGAATGGAGAATTTGGATTTGGTATCTATTCCTTGTACGAGTATAAATCAATGTTCAGGGCTTAGATAAATCTATACTTATGTCTCAAATAAAATTTGTAGGTCTCGCCCTCACTTTTTTATATGTTTTTATTAACTTTTTATTTTTTTACTGAGCTCAGAGTATTACTCAACGATAAAGCCAGCATTAAATCGCTCTGATTAGATATTTAATTTTAAATCATATTGGCTGTCTGCATGAGCTATTTGACTTATGGGACTTCATTATAGATTCTTTTTTCTTGTACAGGCAGCCTGCTAATGTTGGTCGTGCAAAGTATTGGACCAAAAGACCTTTTGACATGCACATCAATCTACAGAGTTTCGAACATAGCAGGATTCAACTTCCCCAGCTCATACAAGTGATTTGTACAATTTATGCTACATTTACCACAGCCAAAAATTGGCACTTCATCAGTGTGTAGGAAAAAGGAAGAGAACAAGAGATGCATTTATGAAAGTGGAAAATGCCACCCCGAGATAGTTTGCAATGTTTTCCCTCTAACCTCTCCAGAAAAGAAAGAAGCAGTTCTGTTGTTCAGTGCTTCTTAGCATTAAACACGTGGCTTAATTTGAATGCAAAGATCTGCAGAAATCTTGGTTTGAGTCAGTTTGTCTGAATTAAATGTTCATAAATTTGTTCTTCATTGGTGCAGTATGAAAAATAGTTGTCTTCTACAACAGTTAATTATCAACTTTTACATTTTTAGAGTATTTATTTGTGTGTAGTTTCTCTACTCATCTCTGATCTTCTATTGAGTTACATGTGCATTATGTGTACCAACATGCTTTGCCTCTGAGGCTTCTGTTAAGATTTATGAGACTATTCCTATTCTTACTCCATTTGTTGCTGTTGAGCACACACAGTAAAATATGCTATACCCCTGCTGTAGCTATAGCTGTCATAATGGTTGCATTTCCCCTCTTGCAGAAAATGACCTTTGCAATGGCATAGTTCCTTTTTTAAAGAGAAAATGAAACAGAAATTCGTGATTCTTCAGTAACACTCACCTGGATTAGGTGCAACATTGTTCCGATCCGTTTTTCTATTTTTTGCCGAGTAGGATGTGGGGTTTGATTCATTGCTGATGCCTTCATTTGGGTAGAGAAAGTTTCCATGTAGTTGAATTCCCAGAGTAGTTCATCAAAATATGCTAAGATGGATGAACTTTTCTGAAGGTACTTTTTTTTTTTTTGTTATTGTTACTAAATATTGTTAAGTATTTGTTAACCAAATATAATTTGGTTAAGTACTAACAGGCTACATGGTGCTGCACCAGATATAAAAGTCACATGCTCCTGTTTGTCTACCAATTTGAGGATTTTTTTTGTTCTTGTTTAAATAGTTTTCTGTTTTGTTGCAATATTGAAGACTGTTTAAAAAGAGAGATAAAATAGAACTACTTAACAGGAATGTTGTGTTTTTCACACTTAAGGAGTTTAAGAACAAACTTGACTCCATTGTCAGTTCCCTCCCATCACTCACTCCATAAGGGAGTGCGCACACACAGAGTCTCCTTCATTATTTCAAGAAGTCAGGGATAGTTAAAAAAGCATCTTTACCACAGGATCCTTTTCCATTTTTAACAGTAGCTTTTTTTGTCCTGTAAAATAGGAACTTTCAGAAAGTCTCAGGGACTAAGTTTTGACAGAGTCACAACAGCTATATGCAGTCATTGCTGGAAGCAGTGTCAAATACAGCTCCAGATAATGCTGTCTTCAGCCAATTTCTTTTGCTTATTTTCTTCTTTACTTTTTTTGTCTATAGACACATAAAACCATGTGCATGCCATGTATCTTTTCTGAGGTCATTATTGTGCTCGTAGGCCCTAGAGGTTTCCCCCTGAACAAAGCATAGTGGTGGTGCAGTTGAGCACCAGACTGAAAGAGGACATTATCCATACACAAACACCACTGTCCGGTTTGCAATTCAGGAGTTGAAAAAGGAAACCTTAGTGAAAGAACAAGACCGTGGAACATCATTGTCTTCTACATCATAACCTGTGTTTACTGCAGTAGAAACAAAGCAAGCACAGTGCAAATATGCATGGGTTTCCTTTGTCTCATTTCATGCATTCAACAGAGGACTTTCTGTCAGAAGCGCTGGGACCTGTCCCTTGTAGTGCTTGGCACGGGCAAGTGGGTCACAACTTGAGGGTTCTGGTTTGGGTGGCACCACTGGTCAGTTGTGTCACTTTTTTTTTTTTTTTTTTTTTTTTTTTTGCCTTGAAAGAAACCGAAATGTAGCTTGATTTAGCCGATACTCGAGGCGGCAGACGGAGTGCTTCCGCTACGGCGGTGAGCAGAGTCTCCGCAGGTGAACAGCGGTTGAGGTGGAGAGCGATTCGTGGTTCAGCCTCTGCACAGCTGCAGTACCCACGTCCCCGCGGCCGGTGGCTCAGCAGTTTCACCTCCTCCTGAAACCAGAGGGAATGGTAAAGGGAGAGGGAATGGGCTGCACCTGCCCTCTGGCAAAACCTAGGGGTGAGACACGGGTAACCCGAATCGCTGTAGCCCTCCCTTCCACAGCAACACCTAACAGTGCCAGCGACGTACAGGAGGCCGCTCGCTAAGCTGTAGGCCCGACACAACTCCTTGATGCATCTGGATTTTGGAAGTTGCCGAAGGGATCCCGAGTCTTCAACTATCTCTGCTAAGACAGCTACGTGGCCAGTTAATGCCCTCGGGCCCGCACTCGGGTGTCCCCGCTGCAGGCCCTTTGCTGACAACACCCAGCCCTCCCGTGGTGCCGGCCCTGCCCGCCATGGTGCCGGCGCCAAGCGCGGGGCAGGGGTTCGGCTGCCGGCACGGTGCGTGTCCCCTCGTTCATTAGCCTCACTGCTCGGCTTCCAAACTTTCCAGCTTATGGAAGGAACTGTCAGAGGCAATTTGCAGGTAGCCAGCGCTTAGCAGAGGTGCAAAGAGTTACGGGTTTTATGTGCCGTTGAATAATTTAGCAACAATTCTGTTACGTAAAATTGCTGCTTTACTGCTGCTGGGGCCAGCGCTCGTACACAGTCTTCTTCTAGGCCCAGTTATACGTGTTTAAGCTTGCTAGTTACATCCTATGCATCTGTCAGTAGAGAGAATTTTTCCAGATTCAAACAGGGAATCAGAGGAGGTCTTGCATTCCAGGAAAGGGCCGTTCCCCTTCCTCATTCTCGTTTATAGTCCTGATCATCCTACCTATTTTCCAAATAGTTTTGCACAAGGTTGCGTATTAGTGCTGGTTTTCTCCACAGAGAAGGATACTGTGTAATGGTTTTCCATATGCACATCACTGAAATCATGCATCCTCATAAGGAGC